CTTGGGGCTGGCCCGGGTGCGGCGGAGGGGCTCCGCCGGGCATGCCGGGCTGGGGGCCCGCCGCCGCGGGCTGCGTGCCTGCCAGGAGGCACGGGTAAGCGGGCGCGCCCGCCACCTGCCTCCCTCCCCTCCCCCCTCCTTCCCCCTCCCCTCCCCTCCCCTCCCCTCCCTCTCTCCCCCCCCTTCTCGCCCCTCCTCTCCCATCCCCTCGCCCGCCCCCTCTCCCCTCCTTCCCTCAATTCCTCCCTCCCTCCTCCCCTCGCGTCCCCCCCCCCACATACCCCACTGTGTGGGAGGGGGGTTGCACTCCACACATAACCTTAGGTTTCACCGTGATTTGGAACTGTAGTTCTGTGGGGTGTGCAGTTGTTTCGCCTCCCAGCAGCTTCGGAGCGGCTCGATACGACTGGCAAGGAGTATGTAATCAGGATCGGTGATGGGAGATTGGCCAAAGGTGCTCTCGTTGTCGGAGCAACGAGCCAGAGGTCTTGTCCCACCGTGATTCGTTTTCGCTTCGCGAACTCACCATTTCCATATCCATTTCCCCCTACCCATACCCTCTTCCCCTCCCCCCCTCCCTCACTGGGGGGAAGGACCTTCCATTGGCGAAAAGACAGGAGACTGCTGTTCTACCCTCGTCTCCTCGTCTCCTCGACTCCTCCTCCTCCTCCTCATCCTCCTCCTCCTCTTCCTCCTCCTCCTCCTTCTCCTCCTCCTTCATTGTCCCTTGTAAATAACTCATCCCTGTCGCACCCCCAAACGTGTCGGTAAGGCGGACCAGGCGTTTTGCCTGAGACTTCCTCACCGCTTATGGTCCTAAAGCTTGAAATCTGCAACAGCTTCAAGAATGGAGGGTTTAAAATGTGGCTCTGGTCTTTGCGCCGCGCACATTCGTCTGAAACATTTGCTACAGTTCCACGGATGTGGGGCGGGTGGTTTTCAAAATGCGGCTCCCGTCTTAGCGCCGCGCACGTTCGCTTCAAATGTTTGCTTCAGTTCTAAGGATGGAAAGCAAATGATTTTCAAAATGTGGCTCTCGCCCTAGCGCCGCGCACACTCGTCTAGAAAGTGTAAGGGTTCGTACGGCTGCAGTCCCAGGAGTGGTGTTCTGGCACGGCTTAGGATTGTCAGGACGCAACAGTCACGTTGATTCGGGGTGTTGACGTCCTAGGAATGGTGTCCTGGCGCGATAAAAGGTTACCAGGACGCAACAGTGACGCTGATTCGCCGCGCTGGAGTCACAGAGATTGTGCTGGGGTGCGGTTGAGAATCAGAAGGTTGTCTTACAATGGGGCACTTCCTGCAATGTCAATAAACTCTTGTGGGGACCTGTGCAAAGCGAATTTGGAGGTAGGGTTCTTGCAACATCGTTGACGCGCCTTCGGTTTCCACTGGTCCTCCTCCTCCTCATCATCATCATCATCTTCCTCATCTCCCTCCACCTTCACATCCCTCCCCCCATCGTTCTCCCTCCCCCATCCTCTCCGTCGAGGCCCCTGAGAAGTCTGGAGGCATCCAAGAGGCCTCGTGTCCACGACCTGGACACGGTGGCAAGGCCGCTGGTTGCACTCCGCTTGAATACTCGAGACAAAGTGAAACAAGGCAAGGCCGGGCAAAGCGAGGCGAAGCACGGCTTGGGGCACGGCGACAGGTTCCTCTCACTCCTCCGCTCTCCTCCTCCTCCTCCTCATCATCACCATCAGCACCAGCATCATCATCATCATCACCACAACCACCACCACACTCATCCTCATCAGCATCAGCATCAGCATCAGCATCATCATCATCATCATCATCAGCAGCAGCAGCAGCACCATCATCATCAGCATCAGCAACAGCAGCATCAACATCATCATTATCAGCATCATCAGTAGCATCATCATCAGCATCATCAGCATCAGCCGCAGTGATCATCGTTATCATCATCATCATAATCATCATCATCATCATCATCAGCATCATCCTCATCACCAACAACAACAATATCATCAGCATCATCAGCAGCATCATCCGCAGCAGCAGCATCATCAGCAACAGCATCAGCAGCATCATCATCAGCAGCATCAGCATAATCAAAATCATTATCAGCAGCAGCAGCACCAGCATCACCAACAAGAACAACAACAACGGCATCATCAGCATCATCAGCATCATCACAATCAGCAGCAGAAACATCATCGGCAGCATCAACAACATCAGCAACATCCCTTAGCGTTCCCCTCCACCCTCATAGTATTACGTCTACATCGTTACATGCATATCGAATTGTGTGCTCGCGAGGTGTGCCGATATATCTATATATATATATACGTAGAAACCTATACATAAATGTATGCAGATATGCAAACGTACATAAACAACGACTTCTGCATATATATATATGTGTATATATTCATACACACACATCAGAGTGAGGGGGCTGAACCGAACGGTCATTCACTGTCCCTGGGTGCGTGGCTGAAGTGGAATTCCGCGAGGCGGATTATCGTTGTTGTTGTTGGTGGTGGTGGCGTTGTTGTTGGTGTTGTTGTTATTGTTGTTGTTGTTGTTGTTAGTCGTGTTGTTGCTGTTGTTGGTGGTGGTGTTGGTGTTGTTGTTGGTGTTGTTGCTGCTGTTGTTGTTGGTGGTGGTGTTGGTGTTAGTGTTGTGTGTTTGTTGTTTGTTGTTTGTTGTTTGTTGTTTGTTGTGTGTTGTTTGTTGTTTGTTGTTTGTTGTTTGTTGTTGTCGACGTCCCACCCGCGACCCGCCCCGCGACCCACCCGCGACCCACCACGCGACCCACCCGCGACCCACCCGCGACCCACCCCGCGACCCACCCGCGACCCACCCCGCGACCCACCCCGCGACCCACCCGGCGACCCACCCGCGACCCACCCGCGACCCACCCGCGACCCACCCCGCGACCCGCCCGCGACCCACCCCGAGACCCCCCGGCGACCCGCCGGCGACCCACCCCGCGACCCACCCGCGACCCACCCGCGACCCACCCCGCGACCCCGCGACCCGCGCCCGCGACCCACCCGCGACCCACCCGCGACCCACCGCGACCCACCCCACCCGCGACCCACCGCGACCCACCCGCGACCCACCGCGACCCACCCGCGACCCACCCAAAATTTTTCGGCGCCTGCGGCGGGCTTCTTTTGCATTCGTTCCAAGTGGAAAACCTGCGACCCACCCGCGACCCAAACCGCGTTCAGTGTACAAATCAAAATGTTCGGCGCCTGCAGCGGGCTGTTTTTGAATTCCTTCCAGGTGGAGGTGGAGAGCCCGCGACCCACCCGCGACCCAAACTACGTTCACTGAACAAGCCACAACTTCGGCGCCTGCGGCGGGTTTCTTTAGCATTCGTTCCAGGTGGAGAACCTGCGACCCAAACCGCGTTCAGTGTACAAATCAAAATTTTCGGCGCCTGCGGCGGGCTGTTTTAAATTCCTTCCAGGTGGAGGTGGAGAGCCCGCGACCCACCCGCGACCCAAACTACGTTCACTGAACAAGCCAAGAACGGAGGAGGCGGAGGACGACGACGACGACGACGACGATGAGGACGAGGACGCGGACGAGGAAGAGCAGGAGGAGGAGGGCGCCATCGACAGGGAAGGTGAGGGCCACGAGGTCCGCCGGCTCGACGCCCGCGTCGCCCGCGCCCGCCCCCTCATTCTTATCCGCAATTGCGGTGTGCTACGTATACATATGCATATATGGCCCTCCCTCCCCCCACCATCCCTTTATTCTATGCATGCCCATCTCTGTGGTTCCCCATCTCTCGCTCTGTCCCTCTCTCTCTCTCTCTCTCCCTCGTTCTCTCTCTCGCTCTCTTTCTCTTTCTCTCTCTCTCTCTCTCTCTCTCTCTCTCTCTGTCTCTCACGATAGCCTCCAACGTGCCTCCAAGAAGCCCCGAGACCGCTCTCAGGCGGCCATCATCCAGGACGCCCCCGCGAGGCCATCATCCATTCGTAACAATCATCCGAAAAGTACACACACACACACCCGTCTACACGTGAGGAGGCGAATATTTGCATGAATGCTCCACACAAAAGAACACATCGCCAGGTATGCACTATCTGCGCTGCCCTCGTTTCCGCCGTGCCTTCCAGGAGTCCACGAAACGCCGTTTCGTGGACTCCTGGAAGGCACGTTTAACGGGCGATGATTTCGCCCGTTTAACGGGCGATGATTTCGCAGTTCGCAGCCACCCAGGGAGCAACGAGGTCTCGGCTGGATCCGCGTGGCTCCCGACACCGCTGGACCTCCCAGGAGCCCACGAGCTTGCCGACAAATGGGGAATTTGCAGCCACCCGAAGGAGCAGCGAGGTCCCGTCTGGGCGCGCGTGGCCCCCGACCCCGCTGGACCTCCAACGAGCCCGCGAAAATGGAGACAACCGCGCAATCAGCAGCACCCGAGGGAGCCGCGAGGTCTCGCGTGGCCCCCAACTCCGCTGGGCCTCCCAAGAGCCCACGAAAATGGTGAGAGTTGCGCAATTCGCAGCCCCCGAGGAAGCCGCGAGGTCTCAAATGGAGCCCCGCTGCCTTCACCTCCGCCGTGCCTCCCAGGAGCCCACGAAAGTGGCGACAGTTGCGCAGTTCGCAGCCACCCGAAGGAGCAGGGAGGTCTCAAATGCACCCCCGCTGCCCTCACCTCAGCCGTGCCTCCCAGGAGCCCACGAAAGCGGCGACAGCTGCGCAGTTAGCAGCACCCGAGGGAGCCGCGAGATCTCAAATGAACCCCCGCTGCCCGCACCTCCACCGTGCCTCCCAGGAGCCCACGAAAGCGGCGACAAGTGCGCAATCGGCAGCTCCCGAGGGAGCCGCGAGGTCTCAAATGCACCCCCGCTGCCCTCACCTCTTCCGTGCCTCCCAGGAGCCCACGAAAGCGGCGACAGTTGCCCAGTTCACAGCCACCCAGGGAGCAGCGCAGAAGGAGGCAGGGGGAGGGGGGAGGAGGAGGAGAAGAAGGAGTGGATACCACAGTGCCCTACTCATAACGATAACCCCACACAGGAGGGCTGGGAAATAGGAAAACCATTGCTTTTGCCTTCTCGCTTTCTCGCTTCCGACTGGCCCTTGAGGCCTCAAGGTGTCTACAATATCACTCGAGAGAGCCCCAAGGAGGGCCCAATACGGCTTCAGGACGGCCCCAAGGGCGCTCAAGAGTGTCACAAGAGCACCCCAAGAGGGCCCTGAGAGACTAGCTGTCGGTGTCCGACGGAACTGGGGTAAATTCGGGCGCGGCCTAACCGACCTCTAGCAAACCATCCCCTTCTGTGACGTCTACCTCGCCTCTCAAGCTCCCCTCTGGCCGCACACATACGTCTTGGGGCGAGCCGAGGGAGGCGTCACGGAAAGGGATAGTCTGCTAGGGGTCGGTTAGGCCGCCCCTGATAGTCAGGACCCCCCCTTCGCTCAAACCCAACAAATTCCCAAAATAAGCTTTGCCTAGGGGGTTCCGTGTGCCGGGCGAGGTTGACCCCAGCGTTCTTCGGGGTTCCCGGGTCTTGCTTCCTGGCACGGGGATTCCTCGGCGTTCCCCAACCTTGCTTGCTTACGAAGGCGTCGGCTTCGCCTGTCTTGTTCCTTGCATTCCATCCTCGGGTTCCCCAGTCGTGTCGCTCGCGTTACCCAGTCTGTTCCTTGCTCAAGATCATTGGGTTCCCCAGACTTGTTCCTTGCTCGGGTTCCTCGGGTTCCCTGGTCGCGTCCCTCGGGTTCCCTGGTATTGCAAAGCAATGCCAAGCAATGCCAAACAACGCCAAGCAGAGCCAATGCCAAGCAATGCCGAGCAATACCAAGCAATGCCAAGCAACGCCAAGCAATGCGAAGCCATGCCAAGCAACGCCAAGCAACGCCAAGCAATGCGCTCATGCAACAAGAACGCGCCATGCTGACCTTCTTAATCCCCAAAAAAATGAGGCTGTTGGCGGATGTTGGCATTTCAGGGGCAAACGTGGGAGACTTCTGGGCCAAGATGGCCTCAGATAGCTCGAGATGGCCTTCTGATGGCACAAGATGGTTGAAGATAGCCTCCAACATGACTCCAAGCGGCTCCACAACAGCTCTAAGCGGTGGCCACGGAGCCTCCCAAGGACGCCCTCGAGATGTCAAAATCCCTACGGAACCTTCAAAGCATAGTGGATGCTGGCTTTTTTCTCGCCGTTTCGCGTCCAAGATGGCTCCAGCATTGCCCAACAGAGCCCCAAGAGGGGCAAGGGCTCCAAGACGGCCCGAAGAGCACTCAAAGGGGCCCCAAGAGCACACCGAGAGGCGATGTCGAGGGTGTTGACGGGGGGACCCTGATTGAGGTCCCCCCCTTCGTTGATCGATTGCACCCAAGACGGCCCAATACATCCCCAAAGGCCTCCAACATGACCCTAAGAGGGCCCCGGCAAGCTGCGGAGCGGCCCTCAGATCGAAAGATACTAGAATGCATTCACGGTAGCCTGCTGGGTCTGATCAGACTGATCCCGAGCTTCGCCTCGAGGGCTGCCCCCGTCTGTGTTCCACTGCTTGCTCCTACACTTCCTCGATCAGGGCAACTGTCTGGGCATCGTCTCTGGATGGGCTGCTGGGGACACGCGGAGCGTCAAGAGCTCATACACTCCACGGTCGCTCTCCCCGCACGATTTTGCGATAGTCTCACCTGGTTACCATGGGGGAAACGGGTCCTGAGGGAAACGGGTCCTGGACCCCGGAGCCTTCCCCCAGGACGAGATCTCCATCCTGAGCCGTTTTCTAACACTCCTGGGGCCCCTGGAGGGCCCCGAGAGCCCGAAAACTGCGAAAAACCTCAGGGCCCGTTTCACTCAGGAACCGCTTCCCACATAGCGACCTGGGGACCAAACACCGGCTTGAACAACGTAGCCTCAGGTCGGGCATGTCCCCCTACAGGCGGATTTTGGAAGGAAAAAAATCAACCAATGCTCAAACATGGTCAAACATAGTCAAAAAATCGTCCCCTGACTATGTTTGTGACTATTTTTGAATAGCCTCCTGTAAAGACACGCCCGACTTAAGCGTAGCCTGCGCCTCGGGGAGGGAGGGAGGAAGCACGCATGCGGCCTGCATGCGCGCCACCAGGCCCGGGCGCATGCTCTGGTCGAGGGGGCCCGAAGTAGCTGCCGACGGGGCCGCCGCTGCCGCTGGCCGGCTCGCTACTGAGGGGAAGGCGGCCTCCTGTCTCCTCCGTCCTCCTCCCTCCTCTTCTTTTTCTTATTCGTATTATTTTTCTCCTTATCATTATTATTATCATTAGTCTCATTAGTCTTCTTACTTTAATTATTATTATTAGTATTATTCGTCTGATTCTTCTTACTATTATTATTACTACTATTATTAACATTATTATTATTATTCCTCCTCCTCCTCCTCTTCCTCCTCCTCCTCCTGCTCCCCCTCCTCCTGCTCCCCCTCCTCCTGCTCCTCCTTCTCCTGCTCCTCCTGTCCTGCTCTCCCCCTCCTCCTCGTCCTCCTATTCTTCGTCACAGTAGTCTTATTGTTCGATTTGGTATGATTGTTCTTTTTTTGGAATGCCATTATTGATAGTAGTATTGGCATTGGTACGATTAGTATGAGTGGTAGTGCTATTCTTGCTCGTATTATTACTCACAGTGGAACTATTCGTAGATTCAGTATTAGTAGTACTGTTATTGTATGTAGAATTAGCGCTAGCAGCATCATTGCTAAGATTAGTATCCTCGTTCGTTCTACTAGCATATTATGATTATTACACATATTACTGGCAGAAATAATGTTCATCTGTTGGTTGCGATTACCAGTGTCAGTCTCGTTATGTGTGTTATATATCCTCGTCCTCCTTCTCCTCCTCCTCCCGCTGTCCTACTCTCCCCCTCCTCCTCATCATCTGCTTCGACTTAGAATCATTATTGTTACGCATGCTACTATTATTATTCGTGTGAGTAGTGTTACTCTTGTTCTTTCACTACTATCAACTTATTAATACGACTCGTAAGAATGGCATTGGCAATACGAATACCATGAATACTAATGATTAAGTATAACAAAGATGAGCAGAAGAGTAATCTTACTCCTGGAAATATGATTAGTAATAAGACTCACAACACGAATACTACAGTTATCACTCTCATTAATAATCGGGTTACTAGTGTGGGGATTATTGTCAGCATTAGTCTATAAGTTACGGATAGCATTAATAGTGCTAGTGTCGAATCATGAATGCTATCATTATTTCTCCTCCTCCTCCTCCTCCCCCTCCTCCTCCTCCTCCTCCTCCTCCTCCTATCTCCTCCTCTTCCCCCATCCACCCCCACATCCTCATCATTCTTACTATTAGTACTTTCGATTATTCCCTACCTAGGCTCTGCCTGGGAGGGTTCTTACTCTCTATCTTAAAGGGGCCGGGCAGTGTTGCCCGCCCCGGGCGGTTCCCCCAGTCCCCTGGGAGCCACGCAAAAGCAACAGCAAAGGTAAAAGCAAACGCGCGGTTCCCCCAGTTGCGCTCCCTGGGTGCCAAGCAAAGCAAAAGCAAAGGCAAAAGTGAAGGCAAAAGCGAAGGCAAAGCAAAAGCATAGTATAACATAGCATAGCATAGCATAGCATAGCGCAGCATAGCATAGCGCAGCATAGCATAGCATAGCCTAGCCTAGCCTAGCCTAGCCTAGCCCAGCATAGCATTGCGCAGCATAGCATAGCATAGCATAGCAGAGCAGAGCAGAGCATAGCATAGCATAGCATAGCGCAGCACCGCATCCACTATTGCTGCTGATATATATATATATATGTATACACACACTGCTGCTTCACTTACAATACGCTACTAATGCTTAACTTACGTGTGCTGCTTCACTTACGGCGTGGCGTCGGCGGTTCTGGCGCTACTACTACTACCACTACCACTACCACTACCACTACCACTACCACTACTACTACTACTACTACTACTACTACTACTACTACTACTACTACTACTACTACTACTACTACGACTACTACTACTCTACTACCACTATTGCTACTACTGCTACTACTACTACTACTACTACTACTACTACTACTACTACTACTACTACTACTACTACTACTACTACTACTACTACTACTACTACTACTACTACTACTACTACTACTACCGCTACTGCTACAACTACGACGATGAGGAGAAGGAGGAGGGCGGCGTTTACCGCTCCTGCTGATGTTGCTTTCCTAGAGGCTCCAACTCCTAGGTAGGGTCGCACTGGGATAATTGTTTCTCCTCCTCATCGTCATCCTTTTCCTCCTCCTCCTCCTCCTCCTCCTCCTCCTCCTCCTCCTCCTCCTCCTCCTCCTCCTCCTCTCCGTTTCCTCCTCTTCATCCCCCTCCTCTTCCCCCTCCACCCCCTCGTCCTCGAGGGGGCCCAGGCAGCTGGCAGGTCCGGGGAGATTGCCAGCGCTTGCGTGGCCGCGGACCCACAGCTTGCATGGCCCCAGAAATTCACACAACTTGCGTGGATCCCTGGCCATGGCAGCCCGGTTTCTTCGACTCCTTCGCGGAGTCCCGCTTCGTCTCGTTCGACGGCTCCTGGGGCTGGTCGAACTGCTGCGGCGTGGACCTCATCGGGGTGCCCCTCTACGTCGTGAAGTGGCGCCTGGCCGTGTGCCTGGCCACGAGCTGGCCCGCCAACCGCACGCCGTACCGAGCGCATGTATGCCTCTCGCTGCTCGAGCTGGTTCTCACCCTCCTTGGGGCGGCCCTCCGCGTCCGACCACTGGGGGGCCTGAGGGGGGACTCGGTTCTGCCCCCTCGGGGTGCCTCGGCAACGGAGACCCCGGCAGGGTCGCAATCCTCGGTGGCGCTAAGTTGCGGTGCCTCCCTGACGGAGTGAGGTTGCAGAGCCCGCTGGAGGGAGCCCGCTGGAGGGGCGCGGGCGTCTCTCGTGAGCCGCTCCGTGTTCGCCAGGGTCTCAACGGTCTCCTCCCCCCTCCTCCTCCCTCTTCCTCATCCTCCTCCTCATCCTCATCCTCCTCCGCCTCCTCCTCCTCCTCATCCTCCTCCTCCTCCTCCTCCCCCTCCTCCTCCACTCCCCTTCCTGATGAGTAGTAACGTCTCCCTGTCGCACCCCCAGGGCGTGTCCGCAGGGCGAGCTGGGCGCTTCGACGGAGACCTCCTCGCCACTGACTCCCATAGGATTCCCACAGGATTCCCAAGGATTCCTAAAGATTTCCATCGGATTTCATAGGATTCCCGTAGGACTCCCTAGGGGTCGCTTCCAAAATGGGACTTCCGTCCGAGCGCCGCGCACATACGTCTTAAGACTTTGCAAGAGCTTCACAGATGGAGGGCGGGTGGCTTTCAAAACGCGGCTCTCGCCTCCAACATGGAGAAGGCCTTCAACGAGCGTCTCGACAAAAGCAAACAAGAACTCTAACATGTGGAATCCAATCCTATACTCCGAGATCGTCTTCTGGGAAATCCCACAATCCTGCAGATAGCTACCGCTACACAGGAAAACGTGCAGTCACTGCAGCTGTTGGCAATGTGGACGGCTTCGATACGGACGCGGCGGCAGCAGCTTTTCTCAGGGAGAAGCTGTCCACGATGAGCGGCGCTATCCCAACTAACATTTACGCCAAGAGCAAATTCAAAAGACATACTTTTCGCTTAATCCCGCACCATGTTGGAAGGGAAGCCGCAGTAGCATTGCTTCGGAGTGGAAACATCAAGCGTGGCTTGAGCACTGTCTAATCTTCGCCGGAAAGGGAATCAGCAGAGCAAGCTGCTCACAATTTGTACGTTGGGTTCAAGCACATCTTGACGCACGAGCTGCGCAACCCATATACCATATGGGTTTCGGACGAGTCGCCTCATCCAGTACATATGGGAGGTCAGCTTGAACTCATGGTGAGCATCCCAGGTGCTACTACGGAGCGTACCTGAGAAGGTGAGTGGAAAGCATAGGAAGACATACTTGTGGAATTGACTCAGAAGTGTGATGGGACGCACAGAGACATACTAAAACTATGTGTCCTCGTTGGAGGCGCGCGTCCGACCCGAACATATAGTATACCCATCTTGTAGTACATCGTTTCCCGAGTGGTGTGGCCAGAAAGCGCCCGCCACGACGCATATACTATAAGATTTCTCGGTGCGCGCGTCGACCCTGGGGGGCCGACGCACATATAGTGGAAGAATGTGGGGGTGACGCCGATGTGATACCATTACACAACGGACTAATGCAGGGATGCAGGGGGAGGCCAAGGGCAGGTCCACAGGACAGAAGGAAGCACGGCGGGCGCTGGACTCGATCTCGGATCTAAGCTTTTCTGGGACGCACAAAGACTTACTAGTACTATATGTTCTCCTCGGAGACGCGCGTCCGACCCAAACATATAATATACCCATCTTGTAGTATATCGTTTCCCGAGCGGTGTGACCAGAAAGCGCCCGCCACGACGCATATACTAGAAGATTTCTCGGTGCGCGCATCGCCCCTGGGGGGGCGACGCATATATATATATATATATATATATATATAGTATAAGAATGTTGGGGTGACGCCGATTTTCGCACCCAGTGCCACAGCCGACCATCAGCACAATACCTTGGAACACATGGGCACTTCGGGAATGCCTTATCAAACAGTTCTTTCTTCACGTGTTCAAGCTGGCCCCATCAACAGTTCACCACATGCTGGTAGTACGAGTATGGGCAAAGATACACTCGTGCAACCATCGGTGAAAAAAAATACCGCCTCCTAAGCCACATCACCAAATTCACCGCCATCAACCACCACGTATCCGGGGATGGGCAAAGCAACAGCTTCCGGACAATGTTGCGTAGGCGTTGGATAATCACGTGTTTCAGATTCTTCCTCTATTTCCCCATCCTCATCCACATGGCAATGATATCGTCGACAATGCTTGCCAGGTCGCGTCCCACGTGTGGCGACAAGGACCGTTGAAGGCTTGTGTGGCGATTCGTTGGTCAAGCTAGAAACTCCTGCTCACGATGGGCAGCAGCAACATTCACATTCGATGTACTCAAGAGACTCATTCGCATGGGGCCGAGTATTACAATAAGCATGGTTAAAAGTTATTACTCTCTGGAAGTATCGGATGTGCAAAGCCGCACATACGCTGAAAACACACGACTGAGATCCCCTGCAACAGAATACACCAACAAAGAGCAAACGGAAAACAC